AATGAAGTTTCAGGTCAGCCACTATTAGGAATAACAGAAATACAGAAACAAAGTGCTGAAAGTCTGAAATCAGAATTGGAAATACTAAGCTAGCTCTGCAGGATCTGTAAAGAGGGAAACAAGAGTTAATGTATCTTGTCTGTGACCTTTCATCAGAACTGAAAAAAAGATAAGAATAAGAGAACACCGCAGTGGCCTGTGTCACTCAGCCCTAAGTTCTGGAAGCCCTGTGGTGGTGCATTTGATTAGTGACCCTGCATATGATGCTATGAACTGCTCGGATAAGTTTTTGCTTAGGATCACAATCCTCCAGGTTGTGAATTCCCTGTCTTCAGTAAAAAAATCAGATGTACAAAACAAGCCAATCATTGTTCCTACAGTGCCTAATGATTTATCTCTTTTGTGGATCATCCAACCAAGAAGATAAGTGTAGGTTCTGGGGATCCCATACTGATCCTAGTGTTTTGAGGGAAGAGGAATGATAACATTTGTTGCCTGAATTAATCTCTTCATTTTTGGGGGGACAAGTGAAATAATCTGCTGCTAAAATCATTGGGTCATTATGAAACATCTTAATAGCTTACTTACAGATGTTCTTTATTCCCTTCCAGAAGAGACCGTTAAAAAAACACTTAGAAGCTGCTCGCTATTTAATTTGCACTGATATGAAGTAGTTTGGGATTTGATCTATAACTAATGATTGAAGAGGCTGGAAGGTTATTTTGAACCTATGAAACTAATCATTTGGTCCATTTCATCACAGTTTCTTTTATCTCCATTTAGTCTGAACCAACTTTTCGGAAGGGATCTGGGGCATGTTCCTATGAATATGGCCAATTAACCAAGACTAACAATAGTGATGACAGTGACTCCTCAAATTTGTTTGATTGTCTTTGGAGAGGATTCCCCATTGTGCACCCCTGAATTGTCCTAGATTTTCCACTTTTTTGCCACTTCCAGGAAATTTCTGACAGGGAATGTGAGTTAATGATGTGTATGGACTATAAAAGGTCAGGATGAGGTAGACATGATGGATCAGTCAATTCTTTCCTGCCCTTTCTGTGTGTTTGTAAGTACTTTCCTCCTTTTCTCCACATACCCTTTCTTTCCCATTATGCTGCTGCATTCTTCTTTTTTCCAACGGAGACTAGGCTACAGATTTCATACCAATTTCAGGCTGAGGTCTAGGCCCAAAACGTCAGCCTTCCTGCTCCTCTGATGCTGCTTGGCCTGCTGTGTTCATCCAGCTCTACACCTTGTTATCTCACAACAACAAGCGTTTATTTTTGATGAAGGAGCATAGAGCTAGTGAAATGAAAAGAGTAGGTCATTCACTTCTTTGAGCTTGCCCATCATTTAGTTAGATGGTGTTTCATTTGTACCTTAACTCCATCCACCCATCTTAGGTCCATAACTCTTAATACTCTTGCTGGACAAAAATCTATCAATCCTGGTCTTCAAATTATGGATAGGCCTAGACTCAGCAGCTTTCTCAGGAGAGACTACCAACTTTCCACTACCCTTTGTGTGAAGAAATATTTCTGACATCATTCCTCATCAACTTAACCCTAATTTTAAGATCCTTGTTCTAAAATTTCCCAGCAGTGGGAGTAATTTCTCTTTCTGTCTCCACTTTATTAAATCTACAATCAGTTTAAACAATTCAATTAGATCAGTCCTTAACCTTCTGCAATCAATTGAATATAAGCCTAGTTTGCGGAATTTGTCCTGATAATTTTAATCTTTTACCTCTGGTATCATTCTTGTAAATCCAAGTTACACTAACTCCAAGACAAGTGCCTCCTTCCTGATGTGCACTGCCTGAATAAATGCAGTATTCCAGATAGAGTCTAATCAGAGCGAAGGGTGGCTGCTCTCTTTAGCCTGTAATTTAGAAACTGTCAGAGTAACACTGGTGTATCAGTCATGTGTCACTCTATACAAGTACAAAGTCACATCCTATGAATGCATGAAAAGAAGTACACGAATATAGCAACCTGCCTTAAGAAATTGGTAATGACATCGAATTTATTTGCAAAACAAAACATTGATAGTTCAATTGTCACTGTCTCCTGAACCACAAGTTGGGATTTCACAGAACAACATTTAAAGAAGCACACAACGCGATTCAGCTGAACTCAACAAACCTGTTATGTATTTTGCCTCGTTCTTGTCAACAAAACAAATACAGTGAGAGTAGCTCTATAAGAAAGAAAGCTCAATTGTCTGACCTTGAATCAAGCAGAGCTCTAATATATGGGGTCAATGGGCTGTAACATTGAGACCTGGAGGACATCTTTAGCAGTTTAAAGTCAGAACATCAGGTTTCATTGTTGTCTTTCAGGATGACTAATGCTGTATACTTCTGTTTTGCATTCTCCAGTTGGATTCCACGTGTAACATTGAACAATCTTTCTTCAATGACTGGTTCAGTGGCCATCTCAACTTTCAGATCGAGCACCAGTAAGTGAATAGGAAACATTGCTTAAGCTGGGTTGGATATTGTTGGTTGTATGGCAGTGATGATGATGGCAGTGGTGGTGTGATGGTGTGGTGCATGGGGAACGTTGGCACAAACCATTGAGATATTAGCCACATCTTGAAGACCACGGTCAAAACCCTGACCTGATTGATTGGATTTTCTCAATAAAGTGTACTTTCTGCGCCCCTTGCTGAATTGTGTTCTGTTGACAAACTTGCTTTACCTTACTAAATGGAGCAATGACCCAAATAATTAGATACATATATGTATGAAAATTACTATCTGTTTTACTTTATTAGATATGTGGATCTTCCCATTAATAATTCATTGATGATTCTGCTTTCAATTAACTATTTCATCGACTGCATCACTACAGAATCACCTGAACAAAGTTGTTAACTCATAAGTTTCATGATTCACATTGTGAAGCTGATACTGGCACTTATATGTAAACTATCTCGCAAAATACACAGTTGACTGTCCTGTTTACCTGATCATGCCCCATTTGGCATTTAGATGCATTGTGTGAATGCCATAGGAAATCAGCCAATGTCAAGTAATGTAGATAATGGGAAAACTAATGTTCATTCAAGTACGATAGGCACAATCAGATTCTGATTATGTGGATCTATAGCATGTATGATACTTGCTCTGATGCTTTCAAGCTCACTTGGTGGATAAAGGGATGCACCTGATGTCATGGAGTAGGTATCTCACTTCTCATTCTTCTAAACTCCAATGAAAATAGACTCAACATGTGAAATCTAGCCTTATAAAATAACTCCTTCATCTCAGAAATCATCAAACAAACCTTCTTTGAACTGCTGCTATTGCAAATATATCCTTTCTTAAATAAGAAAACCAAAACTGTGCACAATGCTCCATATATGGACTCAACAATGCCCTGTACAAAGAGCAGAATCTCCCTACTTTTATACTTGATTCATCTTACAATAAAAGTAAATATTCCATTTGCCTTCCTCATCACTTGCTGTATCTGCATACCAGCATTTTACGATTCATGCACCAGGACACCCAGATTTCTTTATATTGTAGAGTTATCACATTATACTTCCTGTGACAAACTCGTATACATTCACTTAATCTATCTAATTCTCTTTGTAGTCTCCTTGGTCTGGATTTTCCACTGGCCAGACAGTCATTCTGCCAGCGTAGGCAGGACCCCATGGAATCCCCATCATTGCAGAACTCCGAAGGAATTGCCAGGAAAATTTAATCTGCCACTGAGACATTCCTCTAAACCTTGAATGTATCCATTTAAATCAGAGACTTCAGATGGTTCTGATGAAATTAAGTAAAATAGCTACTGAGGAAAAGTTAGACAATTAAAAGCTGCTGAGTAACTATTAAACAGACTCTGCTGTTAACACACAGCCACAACTACGCTATTCCCAGACTCTCTGAACCCTCAGATTCTGACCCAGATGGGAACGGACACCTCTTACCCCCGCCCAACCCAAACCAGCCCTCCCCAACCAAAGTTCCTTTACTAAGAGGCCATTAATGAATCCTGTCTCATTTCACATTGGCAGATCTAAAATAGCCTGCTCCCTAGTTGGCTCTAGAATGTACTGCTCTAAGAAATTGCCCCGAATACTCTCAGTGAGCTCTTTTACCAGGTTATTTAAATCTCGATAAAATTTAAAGTCACCCGTGATTGTTGCAATGTTCATCTTATATGGGCAATTAGTTACACACACAGCTTTATAATAATCCATATTGCCACATTGGACTACAGCGATTCAACAAGGCACAGCCCTCTCACAAGCAACTACAGCTGATTAATGTTGCCAGTCCTAACCAGTGACAGCCCTATGCTGTGAATGAAGAAAGAGCATAGCTTGTTGCTAAGAGCTCAGATATTCCTGCCTGAGGAATATTTTATGAGGTGAAAGCTTTAAATGCTGATAGTGTAAGATGTAGAGAACTTGCTAATGATTTGGAGGCTGCATTTTATCTCCACAGTTTGGGACTTATCATACACTTTAACAATAGTGTTAGTTTTCTTGCTGTCTTTGTAACAAAGTAATGAGATTTGTATATGATTAAAATATGAGTATTTCTTTCTTCAGTTAAGACTGATTTGAATTTTGTGAGAGTTATGGACCTTGAAGATATCCGTAACATACCCTAGCTGGGGGATGGGAGAGCTCTCAGGCAGCTGGTCAGTGCCATTGGGAGGTTTGGCACATTCCCAAGGCCAGGCTCTTCATTAACATGCTGTTAGTGAACTGCAGGCCAAACCTAGGCATTGTAGCGCTGCTCGCTGGCTTTGGGGCAACAGAAAGATAGGCTGGCAGGAAGGCAGTCCAGGGTGGCGAAGGCCTAGCTTATTCTGTGGAATGTCTACACTTCCTGGATCTACCAAATTAATTTTACACATAACTTTTTTTGGCTGTCTTGATACAACCAAACGTTACATCATAGCACAATGTATGACACAGTGAAATGGAGCCTCAGCCTGATGCAGGCAGATGTCTAGGTTGTGTCCTAGAAGGCCCAGACAAAAGAGCGTGGCTGAGCAGAATCAGTGTGGTAAATTTATCAAGCGTGTTGATTTTAATCCTACTGATGCCCCGATTCTGTCAGATGAGTTTTAACTCATGATGTGGTCTTTAGTAGCACCAAATGAAGAAAGAACCTGGGGCCGGAATGGAGTTAAAGGAAAGGGGATTAATAGTATTAGCTCCACTTGAAATAATATCCAAAAAACCAGCCTCCTTTATAAATGGCAGCTTTAAATTGTATTTTCTCCAATCCATTCTTTTCCAGTCTTTTCCCAACAATGCCGCGTCACAATTACTACAAGATCGCCCCTTTAGTGAAATCACTGTGTGACAAGCATGGTTTGAACTATCAAGTGAAGCCTTTGTTGCAAGCCTTCAAGGATATTATAGGGTAAGTAATGAACGTATCGTTATCATCATGACATTTGCTGCCAAGTGTCCTGTTTTCACACATATGTTGTCATTTTAGTTCTGAATTTTTGGGAAATTAAAAATGGACCCTAATTTCCTGAAATAATTTTAATACACACACACACAACCTCAGAGTTGTCATGGGTAAAGATGTTCAATTCCTTACCTATAAAAGGGTTATAAAATGATATGAAAATAATTCTGTTTCAAAACAGTGTGTGCTTATGATCTACTTGGATAATTAGCTGAAGTCAGACACAGCCTTAAGGAAGTTGATTAATCATTCATGTAGATTGTCACAATCCTGCAGGAAACCATTAATGTTTAAGAGAAATCCAAACATCCAGCAATTAACAACACTGAATATTTCATGTGTTTAAATAAAAATGTATGCAAAAAGAAAAGAAACAACACTAACAACTTAACACTATAGCTCATAAAATCCTGTACTATAAACTCAGTTTTATTTGTTATTTCCCTCAAAAGTTCAGTTTTCTTATAAAATCTTGAAGGTTCATTTCCTTCTTTAGGGATCAACTCAAAGATATGCCTTTAAATTTACTTTCATGCTCCTCGGTATTCCAGTTTTCTCCAAGGTACAATATTTATGGGGATCAATCTATTAACATTTAGCTAAGCATCCCTCCAACATTTCTTTAAAGACCTTAGGTGCTTTGCTGGCTGCCAGATGATAACTGATTGTCCTCTCTCAGTCTTTCTAGCTTTGCTGGTTGATATCTTCCACAAGGCTCTGTGAGGACCAATGTAGATCACTTACTCTATCTTTAAACTAGGCAAAACTTCCAGCTGCTTTGCCTGTCATAAATTCCAAACTAAGCTTGAGCCCCCATCTGCATTCCATGCAATGAGGAACAAAGTTAGGATCATCAAGTATAGGCCTGCCTAACATTTGTCTCCTTTAAACTCTACGAAGTCAGTCAGCTCCTGTTCACACTAAGCCAAAACCACAGTTTCCTCTAGTGAGAAAAACAACATGACTATCTAATTCCCTGAGCTTATTTCCATGACAATGTGGTATATTTGAGACGAGTCAGAAAGAAACACAAAACTAATTAGCTTTACCTTCATCACAACCGTACAATTCTGTAACCCGTGTGAATAATTGATCGCTAATGGAGTTTTATCACGCCCCCCTCCCCCTCTCTCCTGGAAAATGCTGACCCAGTTAACAAGCTATTGTGTTTACACTGGCTTTCAACTTTATTTTCACCTGGAGAGCACATAAGCAATTTAATATTCTTATTTGAAACAAACGTAGACCTTCAGGCTCCATTAAGCTGAGAGAAGACCCTGATAGCTTAATCTCCCATACCATTAACTCTGCTTTTGTAAGATTAAGAGATAACAAGGTGTAGAGTTGGATGAACACAGCAGGCCAAGCAGCATCAGAGGAGCAGGAAGGCTGACATTTCGGGCCTAGACCCTTCTTCAGGATCTTTCGTAAGATTAACATGGGTTACCTTTAACATAGGCTTGTTTCATTTGCCCTTAGATTAGGGATCTTTATCACTTTTCTCACCAGGTTTCCCATTATATTACATTTAACCTGCAACCATGAAACTAGATCATTATGACAGATGTAAAAATACCTGCTGAGATTTTCCAGCAATTTCTATTTTTGTTTATGACAAAATGTAGGTGGTAACATAAAGTGTTGGCTGGAAGGAATTAATCACACCTGTGCATGTATGCCAACTGTTCTTTTTATGTTTCTCACTTTGCACCTGCCCATTTGATTTCTGCTCCAGGTTAAACCTAGGCTAAAGGCTATGCTGCCTTGTCTAAGATCCCTATATTAGGCATACAGAACATAACGATTAAATAGTAAATACCAATTCTTGGGGACAGCATTCATCATGACAATAAATCCAAGAACTTCTTTTTTCCCAACATTTTGCATCCTACCTGCCCACCTAATTTCTACACGTGACACAAGGCTGCCTCCAGCTCCATAAATCTCAACAAAAACCAAAAGAACTGTGGATCTGAGGAAGGGTCACCAGACCTGAAGCATTAAATCTGATTTTTCTTCACAGATGCTGCCAAACCTGCTGAGCTTTTCCAGCAATTTCCATTCTTGTTCTATAAATCTCAATTTTATCTGGAATCTCTTTGGAACTTTCTAAAAATCCATGTATAGAATATCCATTGATTTTGCTACTACCTTGACCACTATTAGATTAGTTTTATATTGCCAATCTCTTTAAAAGCAATACTTTGTTTTTCTGACTGGTCACTTACTATTCGAGATAATGTATTCTCAATTTTTCCATTATTGACATTAGTTACTTGGTTACTTTAGAAACTTGCAATACATAAAACATTACTGAATTATGATACTACCTCCAAATCTCATGAATTTTATAAATAATATTTTCAGCCAGCAGTATCCAGCTTATATGCATTCCATTCTCCATCTTACGTTAACTGAGGGAAGCATGCCAAAACAAATTGGATATTGATTCACATTTGCTAACTATTCATAAGCACATAGTCAAAAGCAAATGATCCTAGTTACATGTCCCTAATATTTTAATGAACTGATCCTAATTAAATGTGTCAATGATTTGTCTGATGTGCCACCTTTCTCCTCCCAGGTCCCTGAAGAAGTCTGGTGATCTGTGGTTAGATGCATACCTCCATAAATGAGGCTACTCAATGAATCTTCACTCCTCTCTCTTCCTGTCCCTGTCTGAATTCCAGTTCTGCGTTGGAGTTCCTGTTTCTCTGAGTCTGTATCCATCTCAAGTGGTTTCTGCAGTATAAGAGGATGCCACCACTGGCTTTCTGCATGACCTGACAAATGACTTGATTCTCAATTGATGGCTGATGAAGAACACCTTGAATTAAATTGTTCCGTGCCCTCCGCCCCACTGCCCTTCCCTGTTCAAGTATTGGCAGGTATCCACTGCCTAAATAGCAATCTACATTTTAATTAGATGAGACAAATGTAGGACAATGGGCTTGATTTTATTTTAATTTGGTGTGATTACTGACACTAAGCAAGAAGTTTGTTGTGTTGTGACACCTCTAGTGTACTTTGTGGAGTAGAACGAGAGGTTATTACTGCACCAGCTGTATGAATATTTAACCTTCAGTTAAATGTGCATCTGACATGCTCCACTGCAACCATGACCATTTACTAGAAGAGGTCATGGAGTCATACAGCACGGAAACAGACCCATTAGTTCAATTTGTCCAAGTTTGCCAAACTAAGGTGTCAAAGGGGAAGTACATTGTACAATAATTCCATCTAACCCTGGCAGGCCACTGTTTCCGTAAATTGGCTTTTGAAGATGTTGTTGATATTAATGCTGACACTTTAGTCACAGGCAGAGGTTGAGAATCTGCATTCCTTCTCTTTCGTGAACATTCCAAATAGTAGCAGGTTGCTGCGACAGTACTGTTTCCAAAATGGCCTTATGGATGAGGCTGGGCAGATGGAATGTGACCAGTCTGACTACCAGCTGCACTTACAGCACTGCCGATTGTGATTCAGAGCCTTACAAAACAGGATGATATGGGGATCATGTGCCCAGTATGCACTGATCTCAGCTAAGTGTTAATCTGATGATGTCTGTACACATCTGTAGCACAGTCAGACACCAAACTGCAGACTGATTTAGGGTGCCACGTTTAATCTTAACAGACCTGGATCAAAGGAAACAATTGTTGATTCATGCCCGTAAATTTCCCTGCTGCCAAATACCCTTGTGTCGAGGTGGCTGAGGACATGATTAGACACTCCTTTATGTCACTTGCAGTCACAGAGTTTGTATTCATTATATCATCAAGACTGACACCTTGGATGAGTTAGCAAAGGATATCTGTGCCCATGAACAGTGTATAATTTGGGGACAGAGGGTTAAACTGCTGCTACCTCTTGTCCAATACCTAACTCGTTGCTACCCCCTACCCACCCCACCCCAACTCTCACACAACACACACACACACACACACACACACAAACACACACCAGCAGAAACAGGGAGCAAGCAAAATATTACCCATACAAAGCAAATAAAATCAAGCCCCATCAGTCCATTTACAAGAGAAAAATATTAAAGTTTCTACAATTGACCTGTGGAATGAATGGTTCTGTAGCAGTTTGGGGTGAGTTTCAACAATCTATGCCGGTTTGAAGTATGACATTCAGAAAATGTAGATTCAAGCCGCCATCGACACATTCTCACTAAACACCATTCCTTCCCTGCTTTCTGCAACCATGATCACTAGGTTCCCAACTTCTGTGTTTGTCATGTGTCTCTACACATAATTTCTTATCCTAACAGGCAAAAGTCTCTTTCAGTCATGTCTGTCCATAATTTATAATAACAAGGAGGACAATGGTGTCAGTAATTTTTTTTAATAAAATGACTAATCCTGTTTCTGGCATAATTCAGTATTGAAATAATTGTTGATTCTTTTTAATCTTCCCCATCCACTGTTCAATATTATTAACAAGGAGTGCATTCTTTAACCAATATTAACAGCAGCATTACTTACTCATCCTACGAGGTATGCATATACTACACTGAATCCAGTTCCTGCATGAGTTGCTTTGACAATAAACACCCACACACTCTGCTTTACAATATAGAAGTTAGGCTCTACACTAAGAGTCCACAGTTGCTCTCAGTGCAACAGACAAGATAAAGACAACAATGAACCTGAGATACAAAGTGACCACTTTGGTCAAATGGTCAAATGTCTTTGCGTTATTGAACTGGGCCATGGCGCACGGAGAGGAGAGACTCAGTCTCTGATTACTAGATTGACATCCAGAGGGATAGTTATGTCTGATGGGTGTAGTTCTTTCAAACTCCCCCTCCCTGTCACATACAGACAGCTCTCCGTGTTCAGGCTAATAAACACCGAACTTTGTTATGGGAATAACACAGAGCACGATTTGCTGGATTTAAAGCCAACGGAGGAAATAGGTTCAGAAGAGGAAAAGACTGAAACATTAGGAATTTGAAGCTTTGAAAAAGTTGATTTCAAAGAATATGATTCCAATAGTGACCTGATTATTATGGAAAATGAAAAGCAGGTATTCATTTGTATGTTTTAAAAGAATGTCCCAACCCAATGCTGTCCAGTGATCCTCTCCTGAGCCATGCCCATCTTAGTTTGGGTGATAATAGAAAGTGAGCCGACCATAGTGATTCCCACAATCAAGCTTAGACTCTCATGAGAAATTATGGCCATTTGGACAAGGAACTGAAGAACTGACACAGTTCACTAAACTATATCCCAGAAACAGTCTTCTACACTCCTTACTGAATCTCCAGAAGCAGCACTGTGTCTGCTAAAAATAAGCTGTCATCATGGTGAAACTACAACAAATTCATGCTAAAACATTATACAATATTTTATTGTGGACAGTTCTAAGGCATCCCAATTCCCTTTGACATCCCATGGCATTGTCATTGCTGAGTCTCTACCATCAAAATGAGCCATGTACACATTATTCATGGGGGTCAGAAGCTTGAATATATGTAGCAAGTGTCTCACCTCCTGTTTCCCCAAAGCCTATGCAGCACCTACACAGCATAAGCTAGTTCTATGCTGGAATACTCTGCATTTGGCCTGGATGGGTTCATATGCGATCCAATCGCATGAAATTTGACACAATCCGAGGCAAAACAATTATTTGATCAGCAGCCCATCCACAGCCATAAATGTTACTTTCTGCAACTACTGGGTGAATCATGGCTGCAACAACTATCATCCGAATGGGCTGCAGTAAATTACCAAGGTTTCTTCAACAGCATCTTCCAAATCTACAACCTCCAGTATTCGGAAGGAAAACAGCAACAAGTGTGTGGGTATACCATCAGCTCCAACTTCCCGTATGCCATCCTATTTATTGTCACTGATCACACTCCTAACTTAACAGTGTTGAGGGAGTACCTTCACCATACAAACTGTGCTGTGAGAGTATCTTCACCCAAAGAACTGCAATGCTTTTCTCAAGGGCAACCAGGGATGCACAACACATGCTGGCTTTGCCAGTGAGGACTACGTCCCGAGAATGAATAATTAAAAATAATCCTGACAGGGGATGAGAGAATATTTGGTGGGGAATAGGAATTAGATTCTTCAATGTAATATCTCAGGACAGCATTCTCAAACATGTGGAACATGTTGCAGTCAGCCGTAATATGATTTTTATAATCCGTATGCATACACCTAAAATTTCTTCAATGATTTATGACCTTGAACCACATTTTTATATGGATGGGTGCAACATTGGCAGATTATCTACTGGTGTTCCACGTTAGTTTGATATGACCAACATTTCAATGGAGGAGAGGTGGAGAGTTCTCTACAAGCTATCTATGCTGATAATTTCCACCCATTATACTTACTTGGGCCCAGAAGAGGCTCAATGGTTCCAAACAAGGCGTCAATCTCTCAAAAGGTAACTGGTCAAATACAGGCCTTGACATCCACACCAAATGCCTCTTCAGTCTTTTATAGGCCTCTGCCTCAACCAATTTCTTCCATCTGACTTGCTTTCATATTTTAGACATTTACATCCTTCTTGCATTCTGTTCCAATTTTCCTGCCGATAAGTCACATCTATTTCACCTCCCCAGTTATTAAAATAAGATTTATGACAGGTTTAGCACAGCATCCTCCTAAACAAATCCACTGCAGTGCTGGCGGTAGGACAAGAAACCACAGTGTTTGGGCCCTGACTCTTTATGGCAGTGATCCAATCTATTTAACCATAATCCACTGATTGCACAGGGTGAACTGTTTTTTAAAAAAACAATCATTCATGGGATGCGCTGCCTGGGCCAGCACTAGTTGTCCATCCCTAGCTGCCCTTGAGAAGGTGAGCAGTCTTCTTGAACTGCTGAAATCCATCTGGTGTAAGTACACTCACAATGCCCTTAGGAAGAAAGCTCCAGGATGACCTAGTGACACTGAAGGAACACCAATATATTTCCAAATCAGAATGGTGGGTGGCTTGGAGGGGAACTTGCAGGTGGTGGTGTTCCCATGTAACTGCTTCCCTTGTTCTAGATGTTAGTGGTCATAGGTTTGGAAGGTGCTGGCTAAGCAGCCTTGGTGAACTTCTGCAGTGCATCTTGTAGATGGTACACATTGTTGTTACTGAGCCTCAGTGGTAGAGGGAGGGATCTTTGTGGTTGCGACGCTAATCACTCTCCTGGCTTGTGCCTTATAGATGGTGGACAAGCTTTGGGGAGCCAGGATGTGAGTTTCTTGCTGCAGGATTCCTCTGACCTGCACAAAATTGTATGCTTGTCTGGTTCAGTTTGTGCTTAATGGTAAACCTCAGGATGTTGATAGTGGGGAATTTAGCAATGATAACACAGAGGAGAAAAAGCACAAGTAAAATTATGGAGCAGGTGGAACACAGCAGGCCAGGCAGCATCAGAGGAGCAGGAAAGTTG